GGCTGCCAAGCTCTTTCAATAAACCGTTAATTATTATTATTATTATTATTATATGAATCGGCTGCTTGTCCAATTAACCAGTCCGTTCACATATATTTATATTTGGGTTTTAAGTAACGAAACCCAAACGGTAGTTCCTTGTTTTATTATAAAAGGATTGTATATATAATTCCTGAGTGTATATCAACCGTAAGTCTCACTGTCTAGGAGTGAATGAGAAGGGGACGGCGTTTATGTATAATAAACGTTAGGTCACGTCCTTTCCATATAAGTTGAGGTGAGCTACTGAAGCTCAAGGGCATCGCAGTGCGTGCTTACAGAAATGCTGAGCTATGGGTCTCTCCCTCTCGGGTGAGTTGCCCGCTCACGTGTCCAACCCATGTCTTACTCATAGACAGTGGAAAGTTACAGGGTGGTGAATCTGAATATAATATCAGATGTATTGACCCATTTATATAATATGTTCTGTTGATGAGACAGGGGCCTATTACACGCCTGTACCCCTGTAACCAGCACGCCTGTACCCCTGTAACCAGCACGCCTGTACCCCTGTAACCAGCACCCCTGTACCCCTGTAACCAGCACCCCTGTAACCAGCAGCCCTGTACCTCTGTAACCAGCACGCCTGTACCCCTGTAACCAGCACCCCTGTACCTCTGTAACCAGCACCCCTGTAACCAGCACCCTGTAACCAGCACCCCTACCCTGTAACCAGCACGCCTGTACCGTAACCAGCACCCTGTACCCTGTAACCAGCACGCCTGTACTGTAACCACCCCTGTACCTCTGTAACCAGCACGCCTGTACCCCTGTAACCAGCACCCCTGTACTCCTGTAACGCTACATTATTTACAATATGTGATTTTCCGTCCGATTTAACCTGTGTTACACTACCTGTTGGCAATTCTAATGGCTCTTCGACAATGGCTCTCCTTCCTTCTTCCCTCCCTTCCTCCTCTCTTTCTCCTCTGATAACTCTCCTTCTCGTTCTTCTCCTCCTCCACCTTCTCCACTCTTCTTTTCTTTACTCTTTTCCCTCCTCCTCCCTTCCCCTTCCCCCCGCCTCCTCCTCCTCCTCCTCCCCTCGCCCCCTCCTCTCCCTGCTTATCGGGCCTGCTTATCGGGCCTGCTTATCGGGCCTGGCGTCACCCGTGCTAGAAGAGCGTTGCCATCTCCTCATTAAAATTGAGAGCCGAAGTTATGAAATAAAAAATTACACTTTAAAAGTAATTTCTTGTGTTCTGAGTTCCACCTGATTGATCATCGGGTAGTGTGAGTCAGGGAGTTAATGTAGGGTTGCCATATTTGAACATTAAAAAAAGAGGACGTTCCCGAATCACACCCCTCCCCCGCCTGGCACACACTTTGGTGCGATGTAACCTTGATGCAGCCGTGACCGTTTTATGCTCTGGAAAAGTACAACAAATCGTAAGCACTAGCTGTGGTACCAAGCGACAAACCCACAACAAAGACACTGTCACTGCAGGTTAAAGGCTGGCCAACCACCGGTCACCGTCACAGTTGTCGACACACGTAAATAATATAGCGAAAGTGGATAGATTATGGTTGAAAATTGCTAAAATGCCTTAAATGTAGGACAAGAAAAACAAATGCTACAGTGTAAAAAAAAGCCATAAGAAAAAATGGTATACTTTCATCATTTCATTTATGGCTGTAATAGCACTAAATACAATATTTTATGATCATTATAACGTGTCATCCATTTTCTAATATTTTTTTCAGGTTGTGGTTCGGGTTTTAAGCCAAAGGATAATTATATATTTGTGATAAAGTTGATAAGAGGAGAAATATTGAATACAAGGGTGGAAATCACATTCATTTTAATATTTACCACCACAGGTCATACAGACTCCCAATAGCCCGTCCAGTGGCCCCCCTTTTCTAGAACCTTCTGGAGTCTTCTTGGGATCGAGGACACAATGGTGGACAAGTCACATTTTAGCCAGCATTTAATTTATTTATTTTATCAATTAATTTTTTTCTTCAAGAACAGTAGTGGTGGGAGGTGGCAGTGATCAAGTAACAGTCTACTTTAGTGTTACTGGTGGTGACCAACTCAAAGCCACGCCCCCCCCCCCTCCTCTCTTAGGTTGTCATTACCCGGATTAACTAGACTAGGGGCAGAGGTTCTTACATCATCATATCCTGTCACGTTGCACACAGGCATTCATAGCTTAACTCATTATTTCCTGTCATATTGTAGAAGACATTCAGTCACCTCCACGGCCCAGTAAACCTACAGAGTAAGCATTAAGCCACTCTCAGACTGTCTCGGAGCAGATGTGTGATTGTCGGCTCGAGTCTATTAAAGGTGAGACACTGGTGAAGATAACATACTCTTATAAGCCTCCACCACAAAGTCACATAAAAGTATTACCAGGTGAATTATCAGCGATCAGTGTCTAGTACAGGCCTTCCCTCACGGCTGCCAGACGCCTTATCAACCCAAATGACACATTATCTGCCAAAAGTTCACTCTCATTCTTCCTTTGAAGCTCAAGTGAAGGCGTAGATAACTAAGGGAAAGTTTAAGTCCACACGACACCTCCCCTTTACCTCCCTGGACACCCGCCCTCTTGGTTGGTTGTTTTAGCTTAGGCCTATCAACTGCCAGGCTCACTACGGCCATCAATGTTAAGGCCACCAACCTTAACACCTTCCTCAGGTGTTCACACATTGCCCACCTTTAGAGCCATGGATGGTCCAAACTACAAAGACCATATACACGCTCACTATGTATGTGGCCCTTGACTTGCTCCCTCGGGTCCCCCACCCCTAGCTCTCCCCCCATCTATCCCCCCCCCCAAACCCTCTTGCGACCCGTCGTGTAGAAAGGCCTTGAGCTCGCGGGTATGATAGAAGGAGGGGTGGATGATTACTTTTGACCGCGACTGTACAGTAACTGCCAGCTGGTGACAGTATCATACAGGTGGTGACAGTATCATACAGTTGGTGACAGTATCATATAGGTGGTGGTGCCTTAACCTAGATTTAGATAGTACAGTTACAGGTACAGTTACAGTAATTATGTATAAGTTATAGAGTGAAGAAAATGTATCGTCTCCTTTTGTTGATTAAGTCAAAGAAGAACTGATGTCATCTTGTTGTTATAATCATCTTCATTAATCGTCGTTGTCATCATCATCGCCATTGCCATCATCGTCGTTGTCATCATCATCGCCATTGCCATCATCGTTGTTGTCATCTTCATCGTCTTTGTCATCGTCTTTGTCATCATCGTCGTAGTTGTCATCATCATATTCATTGTTATTTTTTAGTTTCTCTTTTTTTTTCTAAATGGTATAATCAGTCTCGCTCGTCTCCTTGCAAATCCACCATGAAATTGAGCTTTGGGTGTGTTGTGGGGGGGTGTGTGGTGCTGGTGCTGGGGTGTGTTGTGGGGTGGGGTGTTGTGTTGTGGGGGTGTGTGGTGGAGGTGCTGGGGTGTGTTGGGGTGGGGGTGTGGTGGAGGTGTTGAGGTGTGTTGTGTTGTGGGGGTGTGTGGTGGAGGTGCTGGGTGTGTTGTGGGGGGTGCTGGTGCTGGGTGTGGTGAAGGTGCTGGGGTGTGTTGTAGGGTGGGGTGTGTGTTGTGGGGTGTGTGTGTGTTGTGGGGTGGGGGTGTGTGTTGGAGGTGCTGGGGTGTGTTGTGGGGGTGTGTGGTGGAGGTGCTGGGGTGTGTTGTGGGGTGGGGGTGTGTGTTGTGGGTGGGGTGTGTGTGTTGTGGGGGTGTGGTGGTGGTGTGTGGTGGAGGTGCTGGGGTGTGTTGTGGGTGTGTTGTGGGGGTGTGGTGGTGTGTGGGGATGGTGGAGGTGCTGGGGTGTGTTGTGGGGTGGGGGTGTGGTGGAGGTGTTGAGGTGTGGATGTGGGGGTTGGGGTGGGGGGTGTGTGTGTGGGGTGTGTGGTGGAGGTGCTGGGGTGTGTGGTGGAGGTGCTGGGGTGTGTGGTGGAGGTGCTGGGGTGTGGGTGGGTGTGTGTGTGTGGGTGGGGTGTGTGTTGTGGGGTGTGTGGTGGAGGTGCTGGGGTGTGTTGTGGGGTGGGGGTGTGTGTTGTGGGGTGGGGGTGTGTTGTGGGGTGTGTGTGGAGGTGCTGGGGTGTGTGGGGGTGTGGGGTGGGGTGTGTGTGGGGGGGGGTGTGGTGGAGGTGTTGAGGTGTTGTAGGATGTGGGGGTTGGGGTGTGTTGTGGGGTGTGTGGTGGAGGTGTTGGGGTGTGAGTAGTGTGGTGGGGTGTGAAATTGTGGGTATTGTGTGTGGTGGCGTGGGTGTGTCGGGGTGTGTGTGGTGGCCTGTGTGTGTGTGTGTGTGTGTGTGTGTGTGTGTGTGGTAGATGTGTTTGTGTGTGTGTGTGTGTGTGTGTGTGTGTGTGTGTGTGGTGGGGGAGAGAATACAACACAAACACAGGGTAGTTACCGAGGTCATCTGCAGCCTGATGAGCTTTCCACAAAAATCCGTCGTTTTCTTGACAAGGTCACTGTTGTGTACCCCGTTAATCTTATCTTTGTGCGTCTGTCCCCTTGTTTGCTTCTCCGTCCGTACGTCTGTTGTTGTGTCCGTTTAATCGGTCGTAAGCTCTTCCATTAGTCGTCCATGGGCTCGTTTCTTCGTCTGTCCATCGGTTCATCTTTTAGTACGTCCGTTTGTTCCTCCGTCCGTCCGTCCTTCCATCAAATTCTGTCCGTGTCATCAGTGAAGCAGTGGCGGGGTATTTGTCAAGAACCAGTGGCCAATCTGTCATGAGGTCACACTTTAGGGGTCAGGGTCACTTTTCAGGAGTCAAAGTCACACTTCAGAAGTCAAGGTCACATATTAGGCGTCAAGGTCACACTTCAGGAGTCAAGGTCACACTTCAGGAGTCAAGGTCACACTTCAGGAGTCAAGGTCATACTTCAGGAGTCAAGATCACACTTTAGGGGTTAGGGTCACATATTTGGAGTCTGTTAGGTTCTGAATAATAAGTTCTATATACAGGAGAGAACACAAACACCTGTATAGTTTTGTAGGTTCGGTTTACTGGATAAGAGTAGTGCTCTCCTCAGCTAGGCTCCTTGTCAACTGCTATAGACGACGTATGGCAAGTGATATATTAGCAGCTTACATACGTCGCCAGGCACATTAATTAAGCATGTGGGATATGGTAATAACATTGCCACACGCTGCTAGCTAGGCTGAATAAATAATACATAAATGGAGCACATACATAATATACATACATAATATATAATCCAGCATACATAATATACATACAGAGTCAAGGTCACAATTTAGGGGTCAAAGTCACACTTTAGGAGTCATGGTCACACTTTAGGGGTCAAGGTCACATTTTACGGATCAAGGTCACACTTTAGGGGTCAA